TCCTCAAAATCATCGGGACACTCGTAAGGATCATCCTCAAAATCACAGCAAATATTGACTACAAAATCATCCCAAAACTCGTAAGAATCATCCTCAAAATCATAGCAACAATTATATACAAAATCATCCCAAAACTCGTAGTCATCATCTCCATTGGAAGCCATTTTACTGTTTTTCTTTGCTTAAGCTGGTGACTTTTACTTTCTGTAATTGTGAGAAATGTGTGTGGCAAATGGCATATTTATAAAGGGGAAAAGAAAAGGAAACATGCATGGGAAGATAATAAGGTTGTTTATCTTGGAGTACGTGAAAGAAAAACGATTCAACTCCTTCATATTATTATTATTATTATTTTTTCTAATTCGAATTTAAAAGGTCATTTATTACCCAAAAGCGCTTGGATGAGATGACTTGGGTCTCTTTCAGCTTAATCATTGGTCTCGTATTCGAACCTTGAGAATAGAGCTATGTCATTTATTTAAGTTGATGCTTTTCTACATATACCTAATACCTTTTGGTTTTTCCAAGGTATGCGTGGCTTTCAAATTTGACAATTAAAGGGGTAATGCACCTAAGCAGAAATAAATTGACTAAAGTGGTTCACATTCTTTAAAAAAAAGTGGTTCTGGTTCACATTAGTACAACTTTTGTACCACTAACTTCCTTCCTCTCCTATGGGTGGCGTGATGCTGCTGGGCATGGTCATACCTTGCTTTCATGGACATGCAGAAGAGAAATGCTATCCCCACTCGGACCAAGACAAGACTTTTACTTGTTCAAATAACAATTAAGGTGGATTTAATTTTGATAAATAATATCATGGGTAAAATGTCTATTTATCTTCTATCATTCTCCTTTTATTGGACTTTAATTTGTTGGGTCTTCGAAGGTAGATTAGGCGTTTGGATCTCTTTCGACTTGAGTTTCAATTTGATTACTGTTAGCATATGGGGATCAAATAATTTATTCTCAAAGTAAATGTTAGGATTTGATTTGGTTATAGAATTTCTTGATGCTTTTTTTTCGTTTGATCTCATTGGAGGCGGAGTTGAATTGACGTGGACTTGATAATGTTAAGTCGACAACTTGAAAGTTTTTTCTCGATTAAAAACTATTTGATTGAGCTCCACGACAAATGTAGGTTGAAAGTCGCATATAACACTGTTGATCTTGTATCCACGAATCCGGAAAGCGTTGGTTCGATCGTCGCCCCTTTATTTCTTGGAGTAGACTATTGCCTCTTTTTTTTCCTTCTTGGTCTTCTTCACGTACTTCGAATACTCGGAGGCTTGATTCCATATTGAACGACAATCTTTAACTTAAATGTCCTTGGATCTTCAAGATTGTCTTTAGATCTTCAATAGAGTATTGAAAGTTACTAAATTTAAAAATTTGATTTGTGAGATGTAATTTTTTATTTTGGAAAAGCTCATATTTGTTGGTGTATGAGGGGGAGTTTTGAAAAAAAAAAAAAAAAATATCAAATTTGGTTGCTCTTCATGATTTGATATAAATTTCCTTCATATTGTGGTCCGGTTAGTCTTCCTTTTTTTTTCAACTCATTTTTTCTAAATAACTTTTTCTATTTTTCCTGGCTTGGCTAGGTTTGATAGTCGAGTCATTCTCCTTTTTTTATGATATCGATATGGAAAAATTCAATAGAATGCTTTCTATTTACTTGCATAAAAGAATTTGATTTGCCAATAAAAATATTAATTAATAAAATTTTAAAATTTCGATGTCTACACATATACCAAAGTCAAAATACATTTGTTGGTCGTCTCTCAATTCTCAAATAGCATAATGAACGTAATTCTGATTTCCACTGCTATTAGAGAAATTGTGAGCTGACAGACTGTTAGTTAGTAAAAGTTAATTGTAATGGTTAGTTAGCAGAGGAGTTAGTTAGGGATTAACAAACATCTTAACAAATCCCATAGCTCGTGATATAAAAACCTCTGTACACACTTTCAACATCAATAATCACTTTCATTTTCATTATGCCTGAAATTAACTTTAGAATGATATCAGTCGCTGGAAAATCCCGCTTCCGTTGATCTCAATTTTTTTTCTTCTTCATTTTTCTCTGTTCTTCGATCATGGTTGAGTGATCTGTCTCGCCATCTGTATCAGTTGTTTTGCCGCATCTCAATCTGCTTCCTCTTCGCTTGGATCGATCTAATTGTGCGTATTGGAAAGCTCAAATCATATCCATTGTTCGTGCTCATGGTTTTGAGGAGTATCTGCTTGATTCTACGGCGCCGAATAAGTTTTTGCCCTCCGCCACTACCGGAAATCCTGTGCCGGAGATCAATCCGGCCTATACTCACTAGATGCGCACCGATCAACTTATTCTCCGCTAGATGCTTACTTCCATTACTGAATCCATGTTAGGCCATCTTACACGATGCTCTTGCTCTGCTGAGGTTTGATCTGTCCTTACTCAACTATTTCAAACTCAATCAAAAGCTCGTGTTCTACATCTGAAATTTCAATTTCAAACCCTAAAAAAAGGTGACCTCTCCATTTATGATTATATTCTGAAAATGGAGACTATTGCTGATGAACTTCATTATGTTGGTCATTGTGTCATTGATGATGAGTTAGCTATGCATATTCTTGGCGGTTTGGGTGCTGATTATGAGTCTGTTGTTGTTAATCTTACTTCTCAGTTGGATCCAATTTCTCTACCTGAAGTGCAGTTTTCTCTACAAACTCATGAAATGAGGCTTGCTAGTCACGCTCATGTCACCCCTGCTGCATTCCATGTTACTGCTCCTTCTCAGGTTTCTGAAAATCAACTTGTGGTTAACTTTGCTCACTCTCTAGGTGGTTCCTTCAGAGGCTGTGGTCGTGGCCGTTCTCATAGCCGCGGTTCCTTCTCTGGTCGATTTTATAAGAATAATGACATAATCATTTGTCAATTGTGTGGTAAAGCTAACCATGTGGCCTTAAAGTGTTTCATGAGATTTGACATAAGCTTTGCAGGCCAGGATGTTGCTCCATCATCTCCTCATGCTTATATCAGTGGTTCTGGTTCCTCTGCTCCTTCTGAAACATCT